AGAGAGGGAGAGAGAGAGAGAGAGAGAGGTCTTCCATCTGCTGGTTCACTCCCCAATTGGCTGCAGTGACTGGAGCTATGCTCATCCGAAGCCAGGAGCCAGGAGCTTCTTCCAGGTCTCCCATGTTGGTGCAGGGGCCCAGGGACTTGGGCCATCCTGTACTACTTTCCCAGGCCTTAGCAGAGAGCTGGATCTGAAGTGGAGCAGTCGGGACTTGAACCAGTACCCATATGGAATGCCGGCACTGCAGGCAGTGGTTTTACCTGCTACACCACAGCACGGCCCCAATAACAGATTTTCAATGCTGCTACTTTGATTTTTCGGTTTGGGGCATTATCCATTTGTTGATTCCCACTGTGGAAGTGAGCACTTTGCTCTGACCATTGCCACCACAGTTGCACACCCACCCTTCCACCCTGCCCTCATGTATATGTGGTCTTGTGTGTTTTTATTATTAATATTATTTTTAAAGATTTTTTTCATTTGAAAGGCAGAATTATAAAGATAAAGGGTGACAGAGAGAGAGTCAGACTTCCATTAGCAGGTTCACTCTCTGAATGGCCAGGCTGAAGCCAGGAGCCTGGAACCCCTTCTGGTCTCCCACATGGGTGCAGGGGCCCCAACACTTGGGGCAGCTTCTGCTGCTTTCCCAGGTGCATTAGCAGGGAGCTGGATCAGAAGCAGAACAGCCGGAACTCACACAGGTGCCTATATGGGAAGCCGGCATCACAGGTGGTGGCTTAACCTGCTGCACCACAACGCTGGCCCTGAATGTTTTTATTATTACGACTAGGTAAATATTATTCACAGCTGAGCCATGTTGACTGTTTCAATCATTTTCTTTCTTTAAAATAAACAAAACCTGTGCTTTTCTTAAGTTAATCTGTGTCCTGATGAGTACATTTCTTGGTTTTCATTGTGCTGATTATCACTGACTGAGCCCTGTGCTTCCCCCCTATTTCTCATTCCCTGCCTCATCAAGTGCTCTACTGGTTTTGCCTTATTGATGACGTCTCTGGAGCCTTCTGACCTGGTCCGGTCTGGACTGGTTGCCCCTGTGCTGGGGCACGTCTGTTGTCCTGGGATCACCCCTCTCCTTCATGGGGGATTTCAGTCGCTTCCCTCTAGTGTTTGATCCCAGTGTCCTGGCTCCTGCACTTCTCTCCTTGGGGTACTCGGTGTTTTGGTGGAACACATTTCTTGAGCGGCTGCCTGAGAAGGGAGACGTTAGTAGATTCTCTGAAACCTTGTGTGTCTGAACATACTTTATTTGACTCTCACACTTCACTGATATTCGGCTGGGTACAGACTTCTCAGTTGGGAATCGTTTTCCTTCACAATGTATAGTACTTGGATACATAGTGTTTTCTAACTTCCAGTATTGCTGTTAAGAAGCCTGGAACTATTCTGATTCCTGATCGTTTGAATGGCATTCTCTTTTTTTCTCTTGAGGCTTCTAGGATTTTCTTTCTTATCCCCAATGTGCTGAAATTTCACAACCTTGTGCCATGGTAGGGTCCTGTGTGCTGGTTAGTCAGGGAACCCTTTCTGTATGGAAACTTGTGTGTCTCTGAAATTTCCTGAAATTCTTAAACTTTTTTTTGTGTGTGTGTGTGTGGAAATCCTGGCTGCTGGTGTTTTGGGAACCAAGTAGTGGAAGAGAGCTAAGGGCTTGATATTTAGAATTTCTTTACTGACTCACCATTGTGCCTGGGGTCACAGTGCAGAGGCCTCTGTCTACTGACTGCATAGTAAACCGCCAGTGTGCCACGGGAGGAGGGGCACTGCAGCAGAGGCGTATGGAACACGGGCGTGTGGGTGCTGCTGGGGTAGGTTTTCAGCCCGCTTCCCGGGGCACCCAGTGCTGTCGGGCCGAGCACTTTGTAGTGCCTGCAGTACAACTCTGGAGCTTGTGTTCTGTGTTCTTTGTGGGTTTGTGGCTTTTTGAGGGGAGGGACACAGGCTGCGTTAAATGTCTGTGTTTTTTTTTTTGTTTTTTTTTTTTTTTTGGACAGGCAGAGTGGACAGTGAGAGAGAGAGACAGAGAGAAAGGTCTTCCTTTGCCGTTGGTTCACCCTCCAATGGCCGGCGCGCTGTGGCCGGCGCATCGCACTGATCCGATGGCAGGAGCCAGGTACTTTTCCTGGTCTCCCATGGGGTGCAGGGCCCAAGGACTTGGGCCATCCTCCACTGCACTCCCTGGCCACAGCAGAGAGCTGGCCTGGAAGAGGGGCAACCAGGACAGAATCCGACGCCCCGACCGGGACTAGAACCCGGTGTGCCAGCGCCGCAAGGCGGAGGATTAGCCTAGTGAGCTGCGGCGCTGGCCAAATGTCTGTTTTAAGGCTGCTGCATTTAACCAGAAGTCCTTGCATCCCCTTAAGATGCATTTTTCCCCACATAGTTGAGATCATGCTGTTCTTCCAATTTTGTATTCAGCTTTATTTTATAAGTTTCACCTGTCATTAAAAGTGATTTGTGCATATTGTTTTAATAGTTAAAGTTGCCTCATGTGAACACACCACTATTTATGCTATTTGCTTTGCTATTTACTACTGATGGGTATATAAGCTGCTTTTAGTTTTCTGTTTTTCTTTTTTTGAAGATTTATTTTATTTATTTGAAAGGCAGAGTTACGGGGGCGGGGGGAGATAGAGAGAGAGATCACCCATCTGCTGGTTCACTCCTCAAATGGCTGTAATGACTGGGGCTGGGCCAGGCTGAAGCCTGGAGCCAGGAGCTTTATTTGCATCTTCCAGTTGACTCAGGGGCCCAAGAACTTGGGCCATCCTCGGCTGCTTCCCCAGGCACATTAACAGAGAGCTGGATCTGAAGTGGAGCAGTCAGGAGTTGAACCAGCTCCCATATGGGATGTGAGCGTTGCAGGTGGCAGGTTTACCTGCTGTGCCACAGTGCCACTCTTTCATTTTTAGTCTTTTTAAAAAATGCAGAAATGAACAAAGATTGTCATGAAGTTATTCCAGTAATTCTGTTTATTCTTTAGATGAAAGCAGGATTTGGCAAACTGTGACTTGCAGGCCATGTCTGGCTCCTGGCTCGCTGTGAACTAAAAATGTTTTTTAGTTTTGTTTTTTTAAGATTTATTTATTTATTTAAAATTGAAAGGCAGAGACACAGTGAGAGAAGGCGAGAGAGAGAATCTTCTATGCACTGGTTCACTCCCCAAATGACTTAATGTTGGGCTGGGCCTGGCTGAAGCCAGGGACCAGGAGCTTCTTTCGGATCTCCCACGTGGAGTGGGAGTGGAGTGGGTGCAGGGTCCCAAGTACTTGGACTATCTTCCACTGCTTTCCCAGGCACGTTAGCAGGAAGCTGGATGGGAAGTAGGTCAGCCATATAGGATGCTGTCATTGCAGGTGGAGCTTAACCTTCTGTGCCTCAGTGCCAGCCTCTTTTTCACTTTTTAAAAGGATTATTAAAAAGGAAGGGGGAGCAGATATTTGGCCTAGTGGATAATATGCTGCTTGGGATGCCCATATCCCATATCAGAGTATTTGAGTTCAAGTCTTGGCCTCATTTCTTTTTTTTTTTTTTTAATATTTATTTATTTATTTGGAAGTCAGAGTTACACAGAGAAGAGAGGCAGAGAGAAAGAGTCTTCCATCCGCTGGTTCACTCCCCAATTGGCCGCAACGACCGGAGCTGCGCCAATCCGAAGACAGGGGCCTCTTCCGGGTCTCCCATGTGGGTGCAGGGGCCCAAGGACTTGAGCCATCTTCCACTGCTTTCCCAGGCCATAGCAGAGAGCTGGATGGGAAGTGGGGCAGTCAGGACTAGAACTGGTGCCCATATAGGATGCTGGCACTTCAGGCTAGGTTATTAACCTGCTGCTCCACAGCGCCGGCCCCTTGGCCTCACTTCAATTCCAGTTTCTTGCTAGTGCGCACCCTGGGAGGCAGCAGGTGATGACTTCTGTGCTTTGGTTCCTGTCACCTATGTGAGAGACCCAGATTTAATTTCTGGCTCCTGGCTTTGGCCTGGCCTAGCCCATCTGTTGTGGCCACTTGGGGAGTGAACCAGTGGATAGGAACTCTCTGCCTGCCTGCCTGCCTCCTTCTCTCTGCATTGTAAATAAAATAAATAGGTTAATTAATTAAAAAAAAAAAAACAGGAATATGCAATGGACCACATGTGGCCTGCAAAGCTTGAAATGTTTGCTCTCTGGCTCTTTACAGAAAAATTTTACTGACCTTTGGGCTAGAGTTTTGGAAGTGAATTTGATTGGTAAATACTAAACCATTAAATCGTCTTTATATTAGAAAGTGGAAGTCTACTTCATGCCCTCTTCCCAGGTTGGATAACTGGTGTGTGTGTGTGTGTGTGTGTGTGTGTATTTGAGAGGGAGAGAGAGAGGTCGAGGGGGAGGGAGAGATTGCATTATTTTAAAAAAATGCACATGTAGACAGACACATGTATGTATATATTTAGTTTGTTTTACAAAAGTAGGCTCTTGTTAAATACATGGAAACACCACTTAAAACAGTGTAGCACAGACATCCTACCATGCCTCCTACATGCAGACCTGTTTCATTCTTTTTTTAACTAATGCTGTGTTTAATATGCTTTTATATTTATTCTTGCATATCTGTACAAGTGTTTTTAAGGATAATTTCCTAGAAGAAAATTGTGTCAGCATATATGTACAAAGTGCTGGCTAATTTGCTCTAGATCTAATTTACCCTAAGTGGCCTTTTTTAGATCTTCACTGGATGTTGTTTAAGTTTCGCTGATTTCATATCGGTCATTTGGATTTCCTAATCATTAGTGGTGGTGGACAGTTTTCCACATGTGCTGTTTACAGTTCTGTGTATTGCCTGAGGTTGTAAATTTCTCAGAGGCTCTTGTTGAGCACAATCAAATTTTTTCAAGAGCCTGATTTCTATTTCTCCAAGATTGAACAAGAGTGTCTTTGTCATTACAAACTTTTGGAAACATTTGATCTCAAAACTTGTCTCTCTCACTAAATGGTGTTTCTGTAGGCAATTTTCGCTCTGCTCTCAATGATGTGACAGCTGCCAGAAAGTTGAAACCTTGCCACCTCAAAGCAATAATAAGAGGTAAGTGTCACAGAACTACAGTGTGATTGTCATTGTGGGACAGGTGGCACTCGCACCAAAAATTGACATTTAAGCACTGCTATTAAGGTTTCAGGATACTAATGAAGTTGCCTTGTGTTTGCAATCTTGATATTAACTCCCTGCTCTTTATCAATAGCATATGCCACTTTAAAAATAATTTCTCATACAGTGAGCTAACCCTTTATGTTTTAAGACTTTGTAGAGAAATTGAAATTCCTCATTTTAAATTAATAAGGAATAAAATTAATTAAACAAAGCAGCTCCAAAAGCCACATTCTGATTTTTTTCCAAATTAGCTGATTGAAAGGCGAGATCTTCAAATGCCACGTTAATGTTAATTAAAAGATAAGTTATGGGACCTTTGCTGATAACTCTAATGCTGAGATGTTCCCCGATTATTTTTTCCTCTCAGAGTCTGACCTTTCTATGTAATAATAGTGCTTTTATTACTTTTATACTTCACCTTCTCTTTGAGATGCTCAGAGGTGCTTTGCAAACTTTAATTTATTCATCACATATTAATCTTCCTTACATCTCCACGGACCAGCTTAAAAGGCTTTATCGAAGTTAAGCCTCTTTAGATGTTCCTAGTTAGGGGCTGGTAAGTGGTTCCATGTCCCTCAGCTCTAGGGAGGGGCGGTGCTGATTAAAGCTTGCCAGATGCATTGAGTGTGGCCCCGTGGAACGCAGTCTGAGTCTGTAGTCCTTGATTCAGCTTCGGTTTTATCTCACTTTGTGATCTTGGCAAGACACTCAGTCTTACTTTGCTCATCTCTGGAAGATGGGCTAGGTTCTAACTCAAGTCTAAGCCCATACAGTTATATTTTTAATTATGTGGAAAGTGCAAAGAGGCTAACCAGAGAAAAATTAACCTTAATAGGAAGGAGAGGCAGCTTGACTTGGTAGCCATAAAGCACAGCATTAAGATAGACTTTGTCTTGCTGCTACCTTGATGAATTTGCTCAGGCAAATTCTGCTTTGTTTCTCTTGAGAAGTCATCTGAGATGGGCTTTACTTTTGCCGCTTGCATATAGAAACCTGAAGTGAGGGGCGTTGAGCCTGTTGTTTAGGGTCTAGCTGGTGAACGACAGGACTGGGTTTCCAGCCCAGATCTGTCTCCAAAGCCTGTGCTCTTTGCCTCCCAGCTGCAGCCTTCACCACTTTGAGAGTTGTTAATGCCAGGGACAGTTACAGGCGTTTAGAGCTGAATGGGCCCTGGGTGTCCTTGTGATCTGGGACACGGAAAAATTCTTCCCTGTCTGGGAACTGTGGTATAAGGGGCTTTATCTTCCATTTTCCCTTCAGAGTGGCCACTGGTGGCTGGTAGGGGTGGGAGGTCCTGCTCAAGGCAGGCTTTTTCCATGTGTATTGTTACTGGATCCTAAGGATTTTGGGTTCTGCAGGTGCCTTATGCCATCTGGAACTGAAACACTTTGCTGAGGCTGTGAACTGGTGCGATGAGGGGCTGCAGATAGATGCCAAAGAGAAGAAGCTTCTGGAAGTGAGGGCCAAAGCAGACAAGCTGAAGGTTGGTGACTGTTAGCAGCCAATTGGCATTGCTAATTACCATTAATTAGCCTTCTCCAGATTGTGTTTTGTAGGTCACTGTAAACTATTGTCATCTGATACTCTGGTGGTTTCCTGGAAGCCCACTCATAGACTATATAACCTGACTTGTGGCTCACCCAGTGTGAAAAGCTTGTTCACACAGGCTGAGGAGAAAGGCGAGGTAGGAGGAAGTGGGGTTATTTGTCAGAAACAGTTGGAACGATTGTTTTAAGATGGCGGCTCGCTGAGACAGTGGATAACAGTTTGGGGGAAACAATAGGCTTACTGGAAAGCTTAAAAGAAAAAGCTGGGAAACGAGATTCTTTAGTGACTGAAAAGTTCCAGGATTCTTGGGAATCTCTGAATTGCCAATTAATTTTATGTTACACTGAATTTCGTTTCAATTAAGATTTCAAGTATATATACATATATATATACTAACCATAAATTTATCACAAATGGGATTTACTGAAAAATAAAAACTTCTGCTCTACAAAAGACATTGTTAAGAAAACTAAAATGCAGGCCACTGAGTGGGAGAAAATAATTGTAATCTGATATCTGACAAAGGATTTATATCCAGAATGCATAAAGGAATCAATTCCATACAAAAAGGACAAACTAAAATTTAAAAATTTTATGGCAAAATGTACAAATATTTCTCAAAAGAAGATTTACAATAAGGACATGAAAACATGTATAACATAGTTAATCATCAGGGATGTGCACATTAAACCTCAGTGGGATCCCAATTCACAGCCACTAAAAGTGGTTAAAGTTTTAGAAGGACTGATACAGCAACTTTGTTGAAGGTGTGCAGTAGCTGCAGCTCTCCTGCATTGCCAATGGGATGGAAGATGGTGCTGCCACTTTGGAAATCAGTTTTGCAGTTTTGTACACCTATCCTGTGACCTCACAATTTCGCTTCAAGGTATTTACTTAAAGGAGATGCAGACAATGTTCACAAAATACTTGTGTGAGATTTGTAGCCTGTTCTCTTTATCACAACCCAGAAATAACTCTTGGGTCTAGCAACAAGGGAGTGATCAGCGAATAGTGGTATATTCATGCCATGAAATATTACTTGGCAATCAAAAGACACTTATCTTTTTGATGGGAGGGGGAAGGAAACATGAAGGAGGTTTCTTTTTTTTTTTTTTTTGACAGGCAGAGTGGACAGTGAGAGAGAGAGACAGAGAGAAAGGTCTTCCTTTTGCCGTTGGTTCACCTGCCAATGGCCGCCGCGGCCGGCGCACCGCGCTGATCCGATGGCAGGAGCCAGGTACTTATCCTGGTCTCCCATGGGGTGCAGGGCCCAAGGACTTGGGCCATCCTCCACTGCACTCCCTGGCCACAGCAGAGAGCTGGCCTGGAAGAGGAGCAACCGGGACAAAATCCGACGCCCCGACCGGGACTAGAACCCGGTGTGCCGGCGCCGCTAGGCGGAGGATTAGCCTAGTGAGCCGTGGCGCCAGCCTGAAGGAGGTTTCTAAGGTAGAAATGTTCTCTGTTGATTGCCATGTTGTAGACTCAAGTGTATACAAACTCATCCAACTGTACTTAAAACTGTTCTGTAAATCATACCTCAACAACATTGAATTTAAAAAAAAAGCATACCCCAGTTTCAGGTTCTGAATGGGTGGACATTTCATTTTTGGGGGCCTGCTGAAACCCCAAATTCCACATGAGGTAGCAGGAAGCTGTATATACCCACTTGCATCCTGTACATCAGAGTGAAAAGAACCTGGGACAGAGGGACAGTGTCTAAGCTGTCCTTCTTAGTCATCTATCCTCATCATTCTTTGATGTGGAGCAGACACCATAGGCAGGTCTAGCTCAGCTGGGAGGCAGAATTGGACGAGATCCTACAAGTTCCTTGTCGTGAGTCACCCTTGAAAGTGTGACCAAACTCCCTGGCCTCAGGAAGGATTTGCACAGCTCTCCCTTGGCACACTGGATCAGCGAGGGAATGGCCAAGAAGTGTCAGCTTGTATCCCTGAAAGGGTTACTTTTTTACAAGAAAGGAACTGTGTTGGCTCTTGGGGAGAAGAGGAGGGATGTTTCAGGGCATTCATTAGAGCAGGAGTCACAAACTGACCCGTCAACCAAATCCAGTAATTTTTGTATATTTTGTGAACTAAGTATGTTTGCACATTTATAAAATGGTAATAAGCTAGCAAAACCAGATAATATGCCACAGAGACTATATGCAACCCAAAAAGCCTGAAATAATTGTGACCTGACCCTGCATAGAAGAAAATGTTTGCTGACTCCTATCAATTCACAGTTCTGAGAGTAAGAGCAAGATCAGTTATATCTCGGGCAGATTGAGTAGATGGATGGTCCCTTTCTCTTGTGGGTTATAGTTGCACAAAAGGCAGTGCCTCTGATAGCTTCTTGCCCTGGGTTTTTCTAGTGTTGTCCTGTTGTCTAGCCACAACAGAGAAGTTCTGGTTCACCATAGTGTACTTGTGTATCCTGGTGCCAATCCTTCGGTGGAGAATGCTCTTTCTCTTTTATTGCACTCTGTTCACACTACCAGAGTAATGTGCAACACACCTCTTCACTGGTCTGTACCCCAGTAGGTTCTGAACTCTTGGGTGCAGGGACTAGGTATAAATTTACACTGCTTCTAGACCCGACAACCTAGGGTAACCTAAACGTGTGCTTTGTAGTTTGTTGAGCTGGCATCCCTTGGCACAGGAGCATGTGTTGGCTGGAGACCAGAGGTAGTAGGTTGGGAGCCGGCTCCCTGGAGCTGATGGGTCGGATCTCTTTCAGCGAACTGAACAAAGGGATATGAGGAAGGCCAAGTTGAAAGAGAAGAAGGAACAGACTCAGAATGAGGCTTTGCTGCAGGCCGTCAAGGTAAGTTCTCAATGCTTGGGCCCCTGCAGCCCTGCTGACCCCCTCAGTACTCCTGCAGAGCCTGTTGGGAACCTCTGCTGGGATGCTTCACCTGAATGGATGTGCTTGTTTTTTCCTGCTTTCATGCCGCAGTGGGACAAAGTTCCTGAGTTCAGTGAACTGTGTGGATGTGCTGGTCTCAGGAACGCACACTGAACACTTGCTCCAAGTTCAGCCTCGCCTCACTTACTCATCATGCGGCCGTCTGAACGAGGTCTTGCTCCTCTTTTCCTAGGTGATGAAATAGGGTCAGAGGGAGGAAGCCTCATGCAGCAAATGCGTGGCAGAGCCAGGTCTTGCTCTTCACCACAGTGCTGTACTGCCTCCTGAGAAAGGCTGAATTTTAGGACTTTGCGCCTCAAACTATGAGCGCAAAACTCTGCCTCGCCTTCCCTGTCTCTCATGCATTTTGAAATGGATGCCATCTATCCAAGGCTGCTTTAACTCGATGCCCTGCAAGTCACCTATCTGAACTTGCCTGCCCTTCACAGGGAGAGGATATGTGCTGGGAGATTGTGCAGTAGGTTTTTGATTTCACCCTTTGTTCAGCTAAATTGTACATCCATTTGAGTCACTTGTTGACTTTGAGAACTAAACACTACTGAGCTGGGCTCAGGACAGGCAGCTGTTTACGTGAACCAGGTAGCACGAGCTTAAACAACCCGTACTGCAGACTTTCCATCTAATCCTCATTCACCATATGGGACTTGGTCATTTTCTTAAATGAAGGATATTGGAATGCTCAGACATTTGCATACGACTTAAAATTTTTTTAGCTCTTCTTGAGTCCAACCCTGCATTTTAGACTTTCATTTGATTTACTCTTAACAGTGCACAAAGCCATGCAAGCTGTGTTTTACTGATGGGTAAAGACATGTGTCAGCAAACCATTGCAACACAGCCCTGCCTGTCTGTATATTATCTATTGCTGCATTCACACTAGGGTGGCAGAGGTGATTAGCTAATTTCAGCAGAGACCATCTGCCCCCACCCTTTAGGAGAAAGTTTGGCCACCCCTGATTTAGGGGCTATCATCAAAGGTCATTCCGAATGGATGTGGTTTCCCTTTGTACTCTAACTTAGGAAGCCCCACATGCATACATGAAAGGTGACCCTGTACTTCAGACCCTTGATTTAGCTCATCCCCCTGAGATAGGATTAAGTTAATGCACGGTACTCGTATCCCATGGCCTGGCTGAACTGAAGTGTCTGGCATTTCTGTAGCCACACTCTGGCTCTTCTCCATGCCTTTGTGCGTGCTGTAGAATGCTCTACCTGCCCCCTAGAGCTTTCTGCTTGGCAAGGTCTTTGAACATTTCCCAGTTACCTGCAGCCCCCAAGCTAACTAACTATCCTACTGTCTGCAGTTCTTGTAGCTCAACTCCTTACCTTATCTAATTATCCCCGTAGCTATCTCCCAACTAGTGGAGGCCTGAGGACTGGGCCCCATGTCTAGCTCATCTCTGTGACACTGGGTCTGGCACACGGTAGTGAAGGCGAGTTAAACAAGTGGTGCCTCCTGTGTGCTAGGCCTCAGGGATAGTGAAGATGAATCGTGTGGAGCTGGCCCTCAAAGAGCTCAAATTGGTAGGCTTTCCCAATTTCAGTGACGTGGGTTTGCAGCCTCCTACATAATAAAGTGTGTGTGTGTGTGTATGTATATTTATGTCTTTAACCTAGGCTAGGAACATCAGGCTGGTTTCTGAAGCTGTGAATCAGGATGAAGATTCGGCCTCAGAAGGCCCAGGGGAGATTTTCCTGGATGGACTCAGCTCTGAGAACCCCTACGGAGCCCGGCTGAGTTTAGATGACCAGGGCAGGCTGAGCTGGCCTGTGCTCCTTCTGTATCCCGAGCATGCCCAGTCGGACTTCATCTCTGCTTTTCACGAGGATTCCAGGTACTTCCTTGCCCGTGAGCCTTCTGCTCTTTCATGCTCTCTTGGCGACAGACACAGGTGGATTTTTGGTTGAGGAGGGGAGAGAAGAGTTCAGAGGGTCTCAGTCTGGCTTGATGTCACCTCTCCACCCTTCCACCCTTAGCTGACTGAACTGCAGTGACAGATGCAGTCTCCTCTTGAGCTGCCTGTGCCAGTGACACTCAGTATTGTGTTTGCCCGAGAGTGGCACACACTGCTGGTGAGATAGGAAGTCATTTTAGGTTGTGTGTGCACAGTCATTTAAGTGTATTCGTTAGGAAAAACATAACTTGCAGTTTTAATGTATTACTTCATAGGGTTAATGCTTAGAGCATGGCTAATGTAAGACATATTTCTTAAGTCTGAGTCCACTTATATAAAATTATGTTATACTCTGACAAGTAATACACATAGGAGAATACTTTTGAAAGGTCCTGGAACATGGAATTAAAAGATATGTTTATTTTGTTGCAAAAATTGATGTATTATTTATTTGAAAGAGCAATAAAAAGAGAATTTGTTCACTGGTTCACTCCCCAAATGGGGCTGGGCCATGCTGAAGTCCGGAGCCAGGAACTCCATTCAGGTCTCCCACATGGGAGGCAGGGACCCAAATACTTGAGCCATCACCTGCTGCCTCTTAGGGCAGGAAGCTGGATTGGAAGTGGAGGTGGGCTCAATTCTAGGCACTCCAGTAGGGATTAACCTGCTGTGCCACAATACCTGTCCCAAGTGTAAAAATTTTGGAAATTCAGACAGTTTTTTCATAATACTGATTTTCCATAAACTTTTAAAAGACCCGTAATACCTTCTTTGGGCACTGCTATCAAAATGGATTAAGCCTGCATTTCACATTGCACATTCTTGGTTTCTCTGTGAATTACTGTCTGGGGACTGATGTGGGAAAACAGACTATGAGTTATTGAAGCTCAAAAAGTCCATGTTACATCCTTAGGTTTATTGACCACCTGATGGTGATGTTTGGTGAAACGCCCTCTTGGGACTTGGAGCAAAAATACTGCCCTGCTAATTTAGAGGTAAGGTGTCTTCCTGACCCAGAACTTCGTGCTCCTTGAACAGTAACTCCTCATTTCCCCCGGCCTGGTGCCTGACAACCACTGTGCTACTTTCTGTCACTCTGAATTTGATTCCTATAGGTCCCTCAAAAGAGGGGAGTCATGCAGTATTTGTCTTTTTGTGTCTGGCTTGTTACTTCACTTAGCGTAGGGTCTTCAGGGTTCACACACACTGTAGTGTGTGTTGGAATTTCCTTTCTGAGGTGGAATACTGTTCCACTGTGGATGTAAAGCACCCACAGGTAACTTACAGCATCAAGAACTGATCAGCCTGTAATCATTTGGGAGCAGGACGCCAGCTGAATGTGACCCGTCGGCCCTGAGTATTTCAGTGTGAGTGCCTACAAACAAGGGTGTTTCCCTCACCATCCTCGAGTGGCCCTCGGAGTTAGGAAGCTAATGTTGGCACACTGCCCGTGAAGCCCTCAGACTCCATTCAGGCTTCATAAATTGTCCTAGTCCCGTTGTTCATTGCAGAAGGACCTGTTCAGAATCGCGCACTGTTAGTGACCACAGCCCTCCGGTTCCCTTCAGTGTGGAAGAGTTCCTTGGTCTCTCCTCCACTTGCGTGGTCTCCACAACTTTGGCGGCTGTAGGCGATAGACTCTGTGGGATGTTGGTCAGCGTGGGCTTGTCTGTCTCCATGTGACCGATCGGGATAGGCTGTGGTTGGCAGGAATACCACGGAGAGGAGGCTGTATTCCCTCGCATCCCATCAGGTGGTACGGGATTTCCACGTGCCCCATGACTGGTGCCAGCACTCTGGTCGCCGGCGGAGGTGGGGCCTACGAAGCTGCTCTGCCGTATTTACTCCTTCCCCTTCAGATTAGTGATGTTTTGAGGGAGGTTCTTTGAAATGATGTGAATAGCCATCGTTCATCAGACCCTCAACAGTTGTTTACGTCAGTGACTTTATTCCGTGAGTTATGCTCTCTTACTAGGCTTGTGGATTTTGTGCTCACATCATCCCGGGTTAGGCCAGTGGGAACCCCTTGCAGTTTGTTTCTGTGTCCTGTGGGCTGGTCTGCACTGGGAAGCACTTGTCTCCTGCACAGGATGGACTGGAGTTAGGTTGTGCTTGCCTGCCCGGATTTGCAGCCAGCCGTTTCTTCCAAGGAGTCCTGGTTGTTAGTGGAGAATGGTGCTTAGGATGCAAGATCTCTGTGCAGCAGGCCTGTTGCTTAACGCTAAGGATGGCCTCACTGTTCAAGTGCCTTCTCAGTGCCTCACAGCTTAGGGGCAGAGAGAGAGAGAGAGAGAGAGAGAGAGAGTGTGTGTGTGTGTGTGTGTGTGTAAATAGCTGAGGTCTCACTGGCCTTTCTGATTCTTCTTTTTCAAAAAATTTATTTGAAAGGCAGAGAGACAGAGAGACAGACATCCTGAGAGAGATCACCCTTCCCCTGGTTCACAACAGCTGGGGCTGTTGGCGGGAACTTAGTACAGGTCTCCTGTGTGGATGGCAACGACCCAACTACCTGCCTCCCAGGACGTGCGTTAGCAGGAAGCTGGGAATTGGGAGTGGAGCCAGGACTCAAACCCAGGCACTTTGATGTGCAGAGTGGGCATCCCAGCCAGTGTCTAAACTGTGGGCCACATGCCCACTCTGGCATCTCCAGTTTAATCCAACACTGCAGGATTTTTCTCCCTTTCTGTGTTTGTACCAGTGCCTTCGTGATTCCTGATCTATTTGTGTTTGCCCCATCACTCTCCTAGTGTCACATTGGCCCTTCGTCCACGCAGCACCTTCCACACCCTTCTTGGACTCTTGTCTCCCCATGTTAGGGTGCCCCAGCCTGGGTGCCTTCCTCAGTCTAGCAGACCAGACCCCAGCACCCCACAGTATCAGCCACCCAGCATGACTGTCCTCATCCTGCTGCCAGGAGGTTGCCCTCTCCCTGGTTGGACCCTGATACCCTATACTGGATGTCCCCAGGCATGGTTACCCCCTCAGCCCTCTTGGGCTCTGATGCCCACCCTGGAAGCCCTCTTCACGCTGCTCAAGCTGGCGGCTCCCAGTATGGATGTCCTGTTCTGCTGGTCCCACTCCGACACCCTCCCACCATGGCCAGTCCCGTGTGCAGATGGCCTCCTGCTCTGCACGGGCCTTGACCCCCTGCCAAACCCCTTCTCCCCCTACTCAGGTGCTTCCTCTGCTCTGGGCCACACGGCTTCTTCTCCCCACACCTAAGGCTCTAGGACAGGCAGGTGACCTAGGCCTGGGCATGGGTCTTAGCTCCTCTGTTTACTCTCGGTGACGTTGGCGAGATGTTTCCCTTCTCAGCCATGGCTGTGTCATTGGAAAACTTTTCTTCCTGAGGGGGCGTTCAGCTTGCAGCACCTGAAGGGGCCTCGTGCTGCGGAAGCCCCTGGCTGTGTGACTTTTCCCGCTGCTAATCTTGCAGGTCTACTTTGAGGACGAGGACAGGGCAGAGCTCTACCGGGTACCTCCCAAGAGCACCCTGCTGCAGGTGCTGCAGCACCCGAGGTGAGTGACCCTCAGGGCTGAAGGGACCTGGGAAGACGCTCAGGCCCCATCCCAGACATCTGGCCAGCTTCTCGTTCTGCCCCTGTGTGCTCTCCCTTCTGCCCTGGCACAGACAGCAACCACAGACTGCCCCGGACCATTGGCCAATCAGGCTGCAGTGTGATGCCAGCCCAGATGAAGTGGAGGGGGCTGGTGTGAGCAGAGAACAGCTGCCTGCTTCGTACCCGAGACCGCTGGGCTGAGCCTCCTCTTCCTGGTTGTAGCCGCGTCCCTTGAGGTTGCCGCAGGAAAGTGCCTTGTTGAGGGAGGGCAGAGCCGCCCTCCTTTTCTGGCTCAGGGGCGGGGCTGTCTGCTCAGCTCTAGGCTGGGATGGTTTCTCCCAGGTTTGACAGCTGACTGTCACACGGAGCAGCAGCCAAGGTGCTTTTCAGCTGCGTGGGGCAGTCCCGCCGTAAGGGGGCAACTCAGCCACGAGCGGGGGCTGCAAGCTGGGTTTGGCGCTTGTTCCCCTCGGCAGCTTTGGGCATTCTGGGTTCCCTAATTTTGGGCAAAGCAAATGCTTCCCGCCCCCCAGTCTTAGGGAAGGAGGGGAGTGTGGTGCGGCAGGGGATGAGGCTGAGTCGTTCACTGGGAGCACGCACCAGAGCCTCGAATGCCCCGCCAAGGAGCTTGAAGGTCATCTTCACAGGGCTGTGTGGGGTCGCGGGGTGTTTAGGTCAAGTGTAGAATGGTAGGTGGGTCAGGAGCTCCATGGTGAGGCCTGAGGTCGTTAGGTGGGGAAGAGAGGGCTGGACTGCAGAGGGGAGAGAGGCGGCGGGGGTGGGAGCAGGGGAGGCGCCGGCTGATGGGTTCGCATGTCCAGCTGCCGCTGCTTTGGCTTGGTGGGCAGGCGGGGAAGGTTTCTCAGATCTGATCAGCACCTCTCTTGGTGGTATTTTCTCCTTCTGGTCCCAGGTCTCTTCTGTTAGTTACAGTCATTTTTTCAGCTGTTCATTTTCTCCATTGTTAGAAAATTACCGAGAATTCTTTAAAGGCCTGAGGTTCATCCTACCCCATCTCCAAAACATGAAGAGAGATCTAAACAGAGAACAGACTGATCTGTGGAGGAAACCCAGTGCATGCTGTTGGCAGTGATCGCTTTTTAAGTTACTAACACAGGCAAGAGGCTCTCCAGCATGAGTTTCTGGAGGCTCTAGACCCTAACTTGAGTGGAGCCTGCTCACAACTAAGCCCACTGGGCAGGCCCGGAGGCCCAGACCTGCCCGCCTTGCTGTGTTAGCTCTCTGCTGTAGCAGCAGCAGACTGCACCTTCTGGCTTTGGCCCCCGCACCCTCACCCTTCCCCAGATTAAAGCCAAGTTCAGACATGGCATCTGCCAAGGATCTTTTCCTGATTTGCTTCCCCATAGAGGGAATTGTGCCTCCTGGGGTTAACACTGTAGTTCACAGAGGTGTCTACAGTTGTGCATTGCTGTCGTGCATTGCTGTCGTTAATTGGTTCCTTATCTCCCTCCCCCCAGGACTGAGCTTGAGGGAAAGGACAGTGTTCTTGTTTGTTCATTTGTTAATCTCGGTGTTGCAGCACAGGGCCTGGCCTGCCCTGCACACTCAGTGTTGAATGCATGAGTGAAAGCCTGCTTGGGTGTCATGGACACACAGGATGCTGAGGGCTGCCGGCAGGGATCCAGCTAAGTTGTAAAGGAGGATGTCATGCTCATTTGCCAGGTTTACAACCAACCAAACCAGCAAACATGCCACACTTGCCTTCTCGCCTCCAGCGGTCCACCTTGAGTGTTGCGGGGAAGGCCATGGGTGATAAAGATTGTAATTCAGCTAAGCCCCTTTCTTGTGTTGGGTTCACCACAGGTACTTTGTAAAAGCCCTGACACCAGCATTTCTGGTGTTTGTTGGATCCTCTCCATTTTGCAAGAATTACCTCCGAGGGAGGAAGGTGCACCAGGTCAAGTGACCCAGCCCGGCAGTGGAGCCAGGCGCCCTGGATCTCTGTGCTCACCTTCCTCAGCCAGGAACTGGTTGCACCTGAATCAGCCAGACACACGCTTCGAGGCCTGCGCTCTGTGTCTCTCGCCCTGGGGACAGTCCGTCCTGGCATCGTGGTAGGGGTGGAGCTGCAGCCTCTCTGCCAAACTATTGACAGAACTCTGTGCCTTGGTCCTGGCGTCCTTGGACTCCATCTCTGAGGGGACCCTCTGCAGCAGTGGTCACGCCGCTGTGGAGACTGACTCAGGATCCCGTGTTGAAGTACCACGACACCTCAGGGAAGCTGCCCCCCGAGCTGCCTGCAGGCCGCGAGACCTGGCCCTGATCATTTCTTGAGCACAGAGAAGGCTGTCTAGGGGCGCTGTGGAAGCCTTGGACTGAGATGGGGCTGCCCCATCTTTCTGCTCTAAAGACCGTATGGACCAGGATCCTTGGCACCCCTGGGAAGTGTGCCCATTTCCCTGATCTTTGCAGTGAAGAGAACTGGACAGACTTAAGCACTGGCCTCTGAGTTCCTGCCCAGCTTTTACATTTTAGGATTTTATGTCTTTTAAGCTAAAAACCGTTTTGCCTGTGGTCATGGTCATGGGTTGCTTTTCTGTCTGCAGCCGTCTGTTCCTTCCTGGAGGATTTTATTCACCCTCGTGTAGTCCCCGGGGCTCCTGCAGTGTCCACTCCCCCCACCAGAGGGAGTGTTCTTGCCTACCTCAAGTGTAGAGGGCTGCTGGCCCTGCCAAGTCCACACCAGCTAGAGTGTTTCTGTGGTGGGCTCGTGCTGGTGCCCTCTGCCCTGTGCACGTTTCCCACATAGGGGCTGTACCTTCAGCTGGGTGCCACAGTGGATCTGAGCTGCAGCAGTGGCCTGCAGCCACTGGGTGTGGTATGAACGAGAAGTTAATAAGCACCGAGATTTGGGGGTTGTTTGTTACTATAGCAAATCTGACTAAAACATCATTAAACTCAAACCAGCTGCCTGCCTTAAGATGGGCTAAGTAGGGGGTTTCTGTTACGTATGTTTGGGGAAGAGAAATTGGCTGTGGAATATTTACCAAGAACCATGCAGCTGGCCTTTAGGCACAGGGCCCTGCCAGTCCAGCCTCCCCGAGCCTGATTTTGGCCACACTTGGGCCTTTTCTCTCACTGCCTGGCTAGGGCCTCCTCACCTGTCTCCCTTTGTAAAATTGAAAGACGCAGGGGCTGGCATCGTGGTGCAGCAGGTTTAAGCCTCTGCCTGCAACACTGGATACTGGCATCCCATCGTGGAGTGCCAATTTGAGTCCTGGCTGCTCCAATTCTGATCCAGCTCCCTACTAATGAGCGTGGGAAAAGAGTGGAAGATGGCCCAAGTACTTGAACTTCTGCCACCCAAGTGGGAGACCTGGATGGAGTTCCAGGCTCCTGGTTTTGGCTTGGCTCAGTCCCAGCTGTTAAGGACATTTGGGAAGTAAATCAGTAGATAAGAGACCTTTGTGTCTCCCTCTCTCTGTCACTCTGCCTTTCAAATAAAATTTTTTTAAGATACACAGAGAAAGAGAGTTCCCATCTGCTGACTTACTCCCTAAATGCCCACAGTGGCTGGCCGACTGGGGCTGGAGCTGGGAATGCCATCCAAATGTTTGAGCTCTCGCCTGCTGCCTCTCAGGGTACATATTAGGGGGAAGCTGGAATTGGGAGCAGAGCTAGAACTTGAACCCAGGCACAGCAGTCTGGGATCTAGGTGTCTCAGCTGCCGGGCCAGAAGCCTGCCACAGGGGACCTCACGTCTGGTTACCCAGGCAGCCTCATGCGCTAAGGTGCTCCCCTGCTGGGACAAGGTGAGCAGTGCCGGGCTGCAGGAGGCACAGGCAGCGCCACGTGAAGTGGAAGGGGAGGAGACCACTCTGGATGCAGCCCACAGTGTACTGAGGAAAGCCGCTGCCCGTGGCGCAGCCCCTGTGGCTGGCAGCGACTGGTAGGCACGGGGCCATCCGCATCTGAACTCTGGATGCTGCCACTGCAGGCCGCTGGGACGTAGTGGTGGAGAGCACGGGCTCTCGGGCAGCACAACAGGCCTCGCCTTGACAGCGGTGTGACGCTGAGTGCTCTCCTTAAGCGCCCTGTGCCTCAGTCTCCGTATCCATCAGGAGGGGTAACTGTATACTTGCCCAGAGGACGGCTGTGAGGGGGAAATGGCTAGCACCGCATTGGTGTTAATGCTCAGTTAGCACTAGTCTTTGCCTCAGGTCACTTTTCCAGGACAGCCCACTGCCTGGGAAGTTCACCCCTGGAGGAGGAGCCTTCCTGGCTCTATGGCCCCATGCAGGGCGGGCCTCTGCATGAGCGGACTCAGCCCTCAGGAGTCACCTCTTGAAACCCCAAGTCCCGGAGGTGGAGCTGCAGAGATGGGCCCCATGTGAGTCCTGGGTAGAAAGCCAGAGGTCCAGGGCCTGCTGATGGGGCCAGCTCAGGACCTGCCTTCTCTGGGCCTCTGTCCGTCCCTCTAAGAGATGGGGACAGTGCACCAGAAAGTACCGCCCCTCTGTAGGGGCCATTGTTTGAGCAGCAGGAGGTGTAAGCCCTCACCAGCAGGCAGGGTTCCAGCCAGCGCGCAGCCTGGGTCTTGATATCCCGCTCTGCCGCGTAAGGGCTGTGTGCACGTCACTTAACGCTGTGAGCCCCAGTCTGTAAACTGAAGCAAAAATACCAGGGAAACATGGGGGGTCGGGAAGTGCCCTGATGCCTGTGTGAGATGAGGACGTTCCGTGCCTTAGCCTGATGCCCAGCATGCTCCAGGGGCCCAGCACCGGCCTGGGCTGCGCAAGTGCCTCCCTAAGACTCGCCTAACAGAAGCACTGCCCAGATGTGCGTGCCCCAGAAGGAGGGGAGGAAGGCCGGAAGCAGGGTCCTGGGGAGGTCCCGCTGCTGGGCACGGCGTCCCCGAGGTCGGCACAACTGCTGCTTAGAGGGCTCAGAGAGAGGCGAGAGCTGAATCCTCCGCCCAGGACGTGAAGGGCTGCTCTGAAGGCAGTGTGCCCACATATGCTGGTGCTGCCCAACCCTGGCCACTGACGGCTTCCTCCTCCCCACTGCCCACACAGACCGGACCACAGTCCCCTAACAGCACACTGCCCTCACTCTGCCCGTGCTCCCACCCCAAACTCACCTATCTGAGAAGTGTGCCCCGCCTGCCAGGAGAGCTGGCCCCTCTCGTGCACCAGCCCCCTCCTCCAGACGCTTCCCCCTCCAGCAGGGGAGCTCCCCACCCTAGGGGCCAGATAGCTGCCCGGCAGCTGACCCAGTGGGAGCTCAGTGTGTGTGTGCTGACGGTGCACTGAGTGGATGGAGGGGTGAACAAATGAAGGCACTAGTGATTGGAAGAATAAAATAAACCAGTGTCCTAATCCTAGGCCCTCACTTGCTAATCAGCAACAGCGTTCCCAGGCTCAAGCCCAACATGGCCACCTTACACCTCCTCCAGGAAGGCTCCTGGCCTTCCCAGCCCACGGCTGTGCCTCCTCTGAATTCTGCTGGCATTCTGATTTTGGCGTGCTTAGCACAGGACCTCCCTCCACACTGGGCTTCCTCACGGGCAAGGCCCTGCAGAGGGAAGGACGAAAAGTTTTCTGGGACCAAGTGTGCCCCACACCCAGCCACAGCCTGCTTAGTGAGTGTGCCTGGCCACACCCACAGCACCAAAGCCTCAGTCCGCAGGCCCTGCAGCTGCAGCGAGTCTCCCAGAGCCAGGAGGGAGGACTGAGTGGGCCCAGGAGCTGGGTGCTCTGCAGGGGGCTGGTGAGGCCTGTGCTACCTACAGGGGAGTGGGCTACTGTGGAAGTGCCTTGTGCAAGGTCATATGGCCCTCCAGTGTCCCAGGCAGTCTGACTCTGTCTCTTACAGGTCACTCTGTCCTTCTATTTTTTTAGATTTATTTTTTATTATTTATTTGAAAGAGTTAGATCCTCCATCTGCTGGTTCACACCCCAAATGGCCGCAACAGCCGGAGCTGAGCCGGATCAGGAGCCAGGAGCTTCTTCCAGGTCTCTCACACAGGTGCAGGGGCCCAAGCACTTGGACCATCCTCTGCTGCTTCCCCAGGCACATTAGCAGGGAGCTGGATTGGAAGTGGAGCAGCCAGGTTCAGGTACTTGAACCAGCACCCATATGGGATGCCAGTGCTGCAGGCTAGGGCTTTAACCCACTGCGCCACAGCGCCAACCCCACACTGTCACTCTTCAAATTAGTAAAATACTTTTACTTTTTTGCTAATGTCATTTAAACTTGCAATCATGAAAACATTTCCCCATTTTCTACATAGAAAACTTTAAGAATCCTCCCAACTCCAAAACAAAGCCTTCTACAGCCTTGGCTGTGTTAGAATCCATTCTAAAAAGTGCTGGGGCCTCTTAGAACTATATTGCGGGAACTCCTTGGAGACCTGGCATTGGAACAGTTAAGGGAACGGCACTGTCAGCAGATTTCTGCAAAGCTCCTTTATTGATAGCTCAGCAAGTGTTTCTTCCATTAAAACACAGAATATTAATGGAGCCCTGGATTTACATTCTAAGCCTGATTTACACTTGTTACGCACCAGCCTTTGTCCCCAAGTATTGATTCCTGCAGCATCGCCCCAAGGGATAGGCAGTGGAGACAGCCCTGTACCTGCTGTTCTGCCAGGACCCTCACTGCATCAGGTTACAGCAAGAGATACACAGTGTGCGTGCTAACGGCTTTTTTCTAAGGATCGCCACCCATTCTGCATGCCTTACCTACTTCTTGCTCGTGGCTGTCCCCGGGAAGGCGGCAAAACGTCCTATCCAGAGAACAAGCTCCGTGTCTTGAGACAACAAAGCTACCTGCAGAACCTGAGCTCCCAGGGCCAGGCTGTCCCGAGTTGCCCTGTTGTAAGAGTTTCTCAAGTGCAGGCCAAGGACTAAGCATTTCATGCACATGGGCTTGGCAAAGCCCCAGACCACCCTGCGAAGCAGGTACCACAGGCATCTCGAGTGACGAACGTGCCACACAGAAGGCAAGACTTATTTGAAAGTCAGTTACATAGAAAAGGAAAGGGAGAGAGAGTGAGCGAGTGAGCGAGCGAGCAAGCAAGCTTCCATCTGCTATTCATTCCCCAATTGGCCACAATGGCCAGAGCTGCACCATTCTTAAGCCAGGAGCCAGGAGCTTCTTCCAGGTCTCCCACACGGGTGCAGGAGCCCAAGGACTCGGGCCATCTTCCACTGCTTTCCCAGGCCATGGCAGAGAGCTGGATGGAAAATGGAGCAGCCGGGACCCGAACCAGCACCCCTATGGGTTGCCAGCACTGCAGGCGATGGCTTTACCCACTGCACCACAGCGCTGGCCCCAGGGCAAGTCATTTGTCTCAGATCACGGTCCCTGAGAATCGAGGCTCTGATCTTTCCCTCTGGCTATCAGAAGCAGCCTGGGCTTAGTGATCAGGATACCTGGCTTTTACTCAGCGTGACCTCGGGCAGATCACTGCCCTCCTTGTATTCGTCTCCCTGTTGTGTGACAGGACAGGCACCTGTTTCAGCAAACCTGGGAGCCCTGGCAGCTCACAGGCGGCGTTTGCCGGTCAGATGGCATGGCACAGCTCATTCCCGCCTCAGGAATCTGTTTTTTTAAGTGTCATTAGGCTGGCCTTCCAGAAATACACAAGCTTCTGGAGCTTGAATTTAAAGTTAAAAAAACATAATTTAAAGCACCATTTGCATGCATTCTGGTTTCTCACGTACTGGAGGCTAACAGACAGATCCACTGAATCCCAAGTTTGCTACAATCCCTCCTGCCCAGGCACAGCCAAGCAGTGCAGTGGGAAGGGCTCGGTCTTGGCCAGTGCCCGGATGCCAGCTCTGATCCTTAACAGCCATGTGTCCTGCGTGAACTCCTTAAATGCAGCCTGTTTCCTGCTCAGCTTTGAGGCCTGGAAACTGCATATAAACGGGCCTCACAGCACAGCGACACGTGGCAGGCCCTCAACATACACAGGACCAGGCTACTGAAAGCAGAGTTCGAATCCTCTGCTGATGCCCAGCTCCCAGTGGGCCTGGAGGAAGCGGCAGTCCAGAATCACCCGGAGCATTCCATGCTGCCCAGAGCCTCTGGGTGGGCCCCGGGTGATTCCTGTGTGTAAGGGGGAGGTGCCTCTGCCCAGCGGCCTTGCCTTTCGGGGTTCACTCAGAATCCTCGTCTCCTGGCCTGAAAAGCTAAAGTATCCAAGGGATTCCTGGGCCCAGAGCTCTGCACTGGGCAAGCTGGTGGGGGTGGCGTTACTCTCAGAGTTAACAAAGCTGCCAGGAAGCTTTGGCCAAGACAAGAACGGGGGGTGCTAGGAAGCAGCTCGAGCTCCTGGCCTCAGGGAGGCTCACCAGCAAGGACAAGAGGCTGCAGTGGCATCCGACGGGCCGTGTGTGCGTCAGACGAGGAGGACCCGGGCAGGGCTCCACGAGGGAGGCAGAGGAAGCCACGTGCCGCAGCTGCTGGGCAGGCACCAGGAGGCCATGCTTTTAAGTCTGACCTTGACAGATTCTTGTTAGACTTGGATGTTGAGAGACCTCAGAGACGCAAAGATGGGAACGCTGGTTATGTCGGACTACCGTGGAGCTGCGACGGGATTGGGCGGCTCGCTGTGGCAGCTCCAGCCCACTCCCAGCTTCCCACAGAAATCAGGCAGAGAGCAGCTCAGAACACTGTCCCCATCACAGCTTGCGGATCCAGCTCAGCACCTAGGGCCAGACCCGCTGAGGCCTGCTGCTCTTCCTGTGGGAAGAGACAGCTAAAAGCATTTTCCCAACCGTGAAAATTTCTGGGGAGGAGAGGGGGGGTGTTGGGCAGCATAGAAAGAGTGGGAGTAGGAAGTCTCGATTCTGACGCACTCTAGAACCACCTGGAAAGCTTTAACTTCCAGTTTCTAGTTAAATGGCAGGTGTTGCCACTGTTGCAAATTAACACGTGAGGCACAATGCCATGGGCTGACTTTATTGGAAACGCATAGAAATCTCGGTGCTAGGCCGCCCCGGCGGGGCCAGGCCTGTGGAGGTGGTTTTGGAGCCATCAACCAATGCTCTCGACTCTCTGGAAAGCTTAGATGCTGCAGGGTCACAGGGACCAGGTGTGCCCACTGATGGCTGTGGCCAGATGGGGCAACTGAGGCAGGGAGGGGCTGCATCAAGTCACCAGCGAGCTGGCGGCAGTCAGATCACCTGATTCTCCCACACTCAGCTCAACTTCTCAGTGGAGGGGGCCTGGAGGGCCTGCTCTCCAGACCGAATACAGCCAACAGCCCATGACAAGACTGTGTGTGTGTGTGTGGGGGGGGGTCCCTTTGGCCATAAGCCTCTGCCATCATACACAAGGGAAGCTCTCAGTTCCCAACAGAGACTTCGACAGTGGAATATAAAGGAGTGGACCTGTCAGCACAGGAGTCCAGAGAGGGGGATCAGGTAAGGACTTGCGATAGGAATAATGTGACCAGTGACTGGCTCTGAGTGGGTTTTGCGAACATGGTCTCCTCGTCGGTGAGCCTGAGCAAGCATAGGCGTACACAGTGCCCAGCTGTACCCGGGGCCTCACACAACCTGCACTGGGGTCAGCAAGTCCAGGACTCCCTCTCTGGTGAGGAAGAGCTGCTCCCCCGTGTTCTGACACCAAACCTCAAAACAGGCAGGCTCCTCCAGGGCCCGCTTGCCCGCAACCACCACAAAGGGGTAGCCCAACTTGTCGGCGTCCTTCAGCCTGCTTCCAATGGTCAGGTGGGTCCTGTCGTCCAGCACGAGCTCCCCATGCAGCTGGGGCACCGCCTCTGCGATGTGGTCATACAGGCGCTCCGTGAGCTCTGTGGCCGCCGCCTCCTTGCTGCCCTTCTTAGGGGGGATCAGGCAGACCTGGTAAGGGGCCAGGAGGCCCGGCCAGCGAACGCTGTCCTCAGTAGCTAGGACTTCGATGGCGGCAGCCAAGATCCGGGACACACCCAAGCCGTAGCACCCCATTTCGGCCAGGCACGGCTTGCCCTCGGCATTGGTAAACTGGGCCCTGAAGATGGAGGAGTACTTGGTGCCCAGGTAAAACGTGTGCCCCACCTCAATGCCCCTGGTTTCTGTGAGCGGGCCCTGGCACACGGGGCAGTTTGTCTGCGATGAATCCAGCGTCTCCACGTTGGCCGAGAAGCCGCAGCTGGGACACACTGCCAGCTGGTCCTCCCCAACCTCCACCGGCAGCTGGAACTCGTGCGACATCGTGCCGCCGATGCTGCCCACATCGGCCTGGGCCTTGATGACCTGCAGCCCCAGCCTGCTGAAGAGGCTGCAGTAGGCGTCACACACCAGGCCGTAGGTCTGCCGGGCGGCCTCTGGGGAGGAGTCGAAGGTGTACATATCCTTCATGTAGAACTCCCGGCCCCGGAGAAGCCCAAAGCGGGGCCTGGGCTCGTCCCGAAACTTCCTCGTCACCTGGTACAGCAGGAACGGAAGCTGCTTGTAGGACAGGTTCTTCTGGGAGGCGACCAGGGCTGTGACGACTTCTTCGTGAGTGGGTCCCAGGCAGTACTCCTTGCCGTGTCTGTCCTGAAGTCTGAGCAGCTCCTTGCCCATCAAGTCCCACCGCTGGGTGGCTCGCCAGAGCTCCGCCGGGCTGAGGCTGGGCAGGCTGACCTTCTGCCCCCCGACGGCCTGCATCTCCTGGTCTATCAGCCGCACAAGCTTCTCCAGGGCCCGAACGGTATAGGGCAGGAGGTGGTAACAGCCGGGGCTTGCCGGGAGGATCAGGCCCACCTGCAGCATCAGCCGCTGGCTCTTGCAGGTCAGCTCACCAGATCTGCTCTCCAGGGAGAGCGCCTGGTCTTCCCGCAGGTTCTGTGGCTGGAAGATGCGAGAAAGGAGCAAGCGCTGCCCGCTCCCTGGGCCGCAGTGGTGAGACCTGCAGGGCGTGCGTCCTGAGAGCTGGCGGCTGCAAGCAGTGAGGACGCTGAGGGTGGGCAACGCTCTGCATCTTGCTAGCAGCCCTTCCATGACAGCCCAGCAGGAGAGGAACTGCACCTGGAGCAAAAGAGCCACGTGGGAATGACGTAACTGGGTTCCAACACCATGAAGGCGCCAGCACACCTGAAGACAGCCACCGATTCGCAGAGGCAAACCCTCCCATTTCTAATATCCTATCAGGTCACAGCTTTACTTACTTCTCACAGCCTCTTACTTCCATTAAAAGAAAACTCAGTATTTTTCTATTATAGAAACCCATCGAGTGGCCAGCATTGTGGTCAAGCTGCTGCTGTGATCCGGCATCCCATATGACCACCAGTTGGTGTCCCGGTTGCTCCACTTCCCAGCCAGCTCCCTGCTGATGTGCCTGGGAAGGCAGCGGAAAATGGCTCAAGTGCTTGGGCCCCTGCACCCATATGGAGTTCTAGGCTCCTGGCTTTAGCCTGGTCCAGCCTTGGCTGTTGTGGGCATTTGGGGAGTACACCAACAGATGGGAGGTTTCTCTCTGTCTCCCCCAACCCCCAAACTCTGTAATTCTGTCTTTAAACAGAAAAAAAAAAAAAAAAAACCTTAAAAAAAATCTTAAAAAATAAAAACCTAACAACAGTTGGGCGCTGTGATGTAGCAGGTTAGGCCACAGCTTGGGAAGCCTGCATCCCATCCTGGAGCGCCAGTTCAAATCCTGCTTCCCTGCTTTTGATCCAGCTCCCTACAGATGTGCCTGGGAAGGCAGCACAAGATGGCCCAAGTGCTTGGGCCCCTGCACCCACATGGGAGACCCGCATGGAGTTTCTGATGCCTGACTTTGACCTGAACAAGCCCCAGCTGTTGCAAGCATGTGGGGAGCAAAGCAGCATATGGAATATCTCTGTTTCTGTCACTCTGCATTCCAAATAAACCAGTCTTAAAAAAAAAAAAAGACAACTTAGCACGCTGTGGAGAAACAGCATTGTGTGGTGACTGCAGAGGCTCTGGAATCAGACAGCCTGGGTCCCAGGCAGGGTTCCCTCTGGCTGTTCCCTGGGTAGCCTGGGACTCCGCTCAGTGCTGTTTCTTCATCTGCAAAGATGAAGGTTTATTGTGGGAATTCAGAGTGCTGGGGAAAGTTCTCAGAACAGTATCTGGCACTTAACTGTCAGTGTTGGCTACTGTTACTATTACAGAAAACGGGGCGGGGCGGGGGGCAGGCAGCAGGAGATGGCTCAAGCACTTGGGTCCCTGCCACTTGAGTGGGAGACTCAGATGGAGTTGGGAGCACCTGGCTCTGGCCTGGCCCAGCCCCAATTGTTGCAGACGTTTGGGGAGCGAGCCAGCAAATGGGAGGTCTCTCTCTGCCCTTAAATACAAAATGAAAATAAATGTTTTCTAAAAATTAGGAGGGAAAAACCAGCTTTCTGTTGCTCTTAGAATAAAGCCTAAGCCTCTGACTTCAGCCCCATCTGAGCAAGCCTCCTCTGACCACTCACCCCCTAGAGAACACATCCAGCCATCCTGCAGGCCTCAGGGCTACCATCCTGGGCTCTAGAACCCTTCCTTGTCCCACTCCCCAGCCCCCGAAGCCTGGCTCCTCCTGCACAGCCACTGTCACTTACCAGTCCCTTCCCAGCTGTCCCTGGGGTGGGCTGCTCATCAGGCTGCCTGTCTTTCCCCACAGGCTCCTCTGTGCAGGCAAAGACCACCTCCAGCTTCCTCCCCCTGTATCCTCAGCACATGACATTGTCCAGTGAGTGCATATGTTCCTCCATGTGGCACCGAATAGCCACACGTGTCTAACAGCAATACGCTATCAGAAATGATTCTCCTACCACAGAGTTGCCAGCTTTCTCTGTTGTACACAATCTACAATGAACAGAAGGCTTCTCTTTTGCTATATATTTGGGAGATATCTTCAGGAATGGAATGAATTGAGTCACAGGGTATAAACTCATTTAAGGTTCTTGATTTGGGTTGCCAAACAGAGGAGTCCCTCTGCCTCCCAGCACAGCCCACGGAGCAGAGTTCCCCAGCAGTGCTGAGAATGGCTGCGGATCGTCACAGCTCTGGGAGCTGGGCCCCTAGCTGGTTACCGTCAGCTTTCAGCTGCCTGGGGCCTCCGGCTGGCCCCCTCGAACCTCATGCGACCCCATCCAATTCCTCTGTGCACTGCACAAACATTAGGAACTGGGGAGGCACTGCCTAGTGCAGTTTCGTGGCAAAGTCTGGGCCACAGAGGTGAGACGCACAGCAGATTCACGCCTGCCACCATCCAACTGCACTTGTGGTCCAACCACAGACCCCAAGCCAGCAAATCCTTCACCCTTGACTCCTAAAGCAAGTGACCCTGTTCAAGACCTCCCTCAAACTGACTCCCTGCTGGTCCTAACTGCCTCAACCCTGGGTTAACCCTCCAGTACCACCTGCTGCATTATGGCAGCCCAGCGACCCTGGAATGTAACCGAGCACCACAGCCACTGGTGGGGCAGCCCAACTCCAGAGTTCACCAGGCCTGGCTGTGGGCAGAAAAATGTGTATTTCTAACACATTCCCAGGCGTGTAGGCACTACCAGGCCAGGAGCCCATGTGTGCACCTGCACGGATTTAGACTGTAAACTCCATGAGGGCAGGGACCATGTCTATTTTATTCCCAGCTGTATCTGCAGCTTCCAGCAGTGTCTGGACATGGAGCATTCTCAATAAACACTCTGTGAACAATGAATTGAATAATTCTTGACCCTGTCAGTCCAGTCTCCATATCACAGCTAAAAGATAACTGATCCAACCACTCCCCAGCTCAGACTCCATTAATGGCTCCCCACCATCACTGTCTTGGAATGGCAGCAAAGCCTTTCATATTTTGATCCAAACACACCTTTTCCAGCTCCTTATCCCGCCATTGCACTAACATGCCCCAAACAGCTCACTGTTCTGGGAACATGCCAGCCTTCCCCAACACCAGCAACCTGAACTCATCCTTCAAGCCTCACTTATCCCAAGAAGCTTTCTCCAACCCATTGCAACACAGAAGGCACCCCTTTCCCTGTGCTCTCACACACACACCTGTATGGTGGCCTGTATTGGGACAGGTTGGCAGTAATTCCCAACTACGTGAGAAGCTGTGTGCACCAGGCATTGGGAATGAGCGTTCTGTGTCTTTGCCTTCCAGCAAACTACCAGTTCACGGGGTTTTGTACATTTTTACATTTCAGGAGCTGGCACAACACACAGTATTTACATTCTTTATATTTCCTGCCGAGCAAGGCAAATGACTGCAATGGTATAATTACTGGAATAATTTAAATAAGAGCTTGGAGCCCTGTTCTCAGACTCCTCGGTTTACACACAGAACTTGCATCACCTTACGTTTTCAAGGCTTTGCACAGACCACACACCCAAGAGTAACTCAAGAGTCCAGCGCTTCAGACTGGCAAAGAGCCCGAGTCATTCGATCACTACCATTTCTAGCAAGCACCTCCTCTGTGCGAGCCTGTCACCCCTGCACGCCCGCTCGTGTTAGGAAGGTTCTCTGATCACGGTGCCCCTCGAGCAAATCACGAAAGCTGCACAAACTGCTGTTATTATGCCCAACTCTCAAAGGTGTGTCAGGTGCCACAGCCAATGAGGGCAGGGGCACACCATCAACGCAAGTTCCCGCCTCCAAATGCCAGTTTCCCTCCCGGAGCACACTGCGTAAAACAGCACTAGAAACCTCATCCCCGGGTCCCTGTGAGAACCCGGTCCAGGCACTCCAGTCTCCGGACCTCAGCCTGCCCACACGTAAAACGGGAAGTCGGCTCAGGCACCAGAGATCCCCGAGGTGACTCTCACGCCCGGCAGACCACGCGGAAGCGCGGGTACAACGGAGGAAATCGAGAGGAGAGAGAGGAGCACTTTCGAGAGTTGACGCGATTGACACCCGCCCCAGTGCCAGGAAGGGACGCACGCGGGAAGAGCCTGGTCTCCCGCTCAGGCTCCCTTCACCCCGCCGCCCTGCCCGTCTCGCACGCCTCTCGCTGGCCCAGGCTCACCGACTGCACCGCCCGGCGACCGCGGCGCCGGGCCAGTGCGCAGACGCCAGAGGCCCCCAAGCCCCACCTCCCGTTTTTCTCGCCAATAGTAAGGCCGGCTCACGGGGCGGGGGCGGGGCCACTGGGGCCCGTACTCTAAACCCGTGTGAGGGTTTCCGGAAGTTTAGCCAAAGAGAGAGAGGACCCGAATCATAGATCGGCCTCTGGGCAGCCATGAGGAATTACCGTTCCGGAAGTGCCCTCTAGGAATTAGGGAGGTGTTAACTCTGTGGTCAAAGCCGACTTCTCAGTATTTGAGTCAGGCCCCGCCCACTCTGAATAGGTGTCGGCTGCCGCCTTGTGTAACCATGACAACGCCCTGGGAACGCGTTTTCTAATCCACGCTGCCTTAACAGACTGTCAATATAAATAACTCAAATTGTGACTAGCTGGGAAAAGGCACCTTTATTACAATGCCCAAGACATCTTTAAAACACGATCCAAATTTTAATGCACGAAACATTTTTTGAGCTCCTTCTGTGTATGAATCCCTGTTGTGGACCCTGTGAATAGTGAGCAGAAAGACAAGATGCCGGCATTCAATGCATCTAGAGAGATGACGTAGCCAATAAGACAATACAGTGATATTTAAGCAGGGCTGAGTTTAAAGAACTCGATGATCAGGGTAAACAGTATTGTGTAATACAATTAATTTTTAAAAGATTATTTTATTTATTTATTTATTTATTTGAAAGGCAGAGTTACAGAGAGAGAGAGAGACAAAGAGAAATCTTCCATCCACTGAAGCTAGGACATGGGAGCTTCTTCTGGGTCTCCCACACGGGTGCAGGGCCTAAGCACTCGGGCTGGCTTCCAGTGGTTTCTCAGGTGCGTTAGCAGGGAGCTGGATTGTTAGTGGTGTTAAGGTAGCTGGGTAGAAAATAGCCTATGTGTGTAAGAGGAGCCAAAGAAAATGAGAAGTTTTAAAGAAAATAACCATGTGCAATGGAACAAGGACACAAGTCTTTTTTTTTTTAACATCCTGCATTTGCTCCTTTACCTCTTTTTTTTTTTTTAAAGATTTATTTGTTTATTTATTTGAAACTCAGAGTTACACAGAGAGAGGAGAGACAGAGAGAGAGAAAGGTCTTCCATCTGATGGTTCACTCCCCAATTGGCCGCTATGGCTGGAGCTGCGCCGATCCGAAGCCAGGAGCCAGGAGCCAGGAGCTTCCTCCAGGTCTCCCAAGTGGGTGCAGGGGCCCAAGGACTTGGGCCATCCTCCACTGCCTCCCAGGCCATAGCAGAGAGCTGGATCGGAAGTGGAGCAGCCAGTCTCAAACCAGCACCCATATGGGATGCCGGCACCCTAGGCCAGGGCGTTAACCCACTGCACCACAGCGCCGGCCCCAAGGACACAAGTCTTGAAAGCAGGGCCCGGCCTCTTGTCTGTGCCCCCCAGCCCAAGGTGTCCTTACCTGTCCTTGATCAAAAGGAATTCAGTGAATTGAGGGAGTGATGCTGCTGGCCTGCAAGCTTAGAATCCCTGCATTGTAGGAGTCGTTTGCTTCTCCGATAGATAGGAACTCTGGTGGCCACTCTTGTCCAGAGGGTTCTGTTTAGGGGAATTCAACATACCCACCCCTCACACCTTCCCAGAAGAGGGAGGAGGGGAGAAGAAACAGGGACCCACCCTCATGTCCATAAAAACCCTGGTCTGAGTGCAGACTGGGCCCCCAGTGAGACGCCAGCCTGGTCCATGAGGTGAAGGAATTTCTGTCTCTTCACTTTTTCCAACAAACCATGCTCAGATCGCCTTCTCGTCTGCTCGTTCACTGGCCACGTACTTCCTGTGGATAGAACACCTCCGGGGTTCAGATCAGTGAGGTGCTGGGGGAGACTTCGCACCCAGAAAGTCCTCCACGCAGCAACGCCTCAGAAAAGGTGTGGGGAGGAGGAGGAGGGCCCACGGGTGGCATCCCTGTAAGCTGTGGTCGGGGTGCAGCTTGGGCTCCCAGGTCTTCACTGAGGTGCCTGCCTGGTCTGTCAGCTGGACTTCCTTCACTGTTTCTCTTCTTTAAACTTGGCTGCCTCACTTACCACTACTCTGTCTGCGTCCAGCATCTTTCTTGCACAGAGACAAGAACCGATGAGCAGCCGAGCCCTGGTGGTGCTGCAGAAGTGGTGAGAGAGTCCGAGTCCGGGCCCTGGTGTCGACAGAAGAGAAGTAGAAGAGAAGGTTCTTTTAGGTAAGAAGAACAAAGTCTCCCAGTCTCCAGGTGTGTGTATGTGGTTACCACGTCATCTCCAAGGAGCAAAGGTAGTGGTTACACATTGGCTACCGTAAAGATTGAGTCTTTGTTTGTTTGTTTGTTTGTTTTGTTTAAAAAGATTTATTTGAAAGTCAGAATTACACACAGAGAGGAGAGAGAGAGGTCTTCCATCTACTGGTTCACTCCCCAAATGGCCGCCACGGCCAGAGCTGGGCTGATCTGAAGCTAGGAGTCAGGAGTTTCTTCTAGGTCTCACATGTGGGTGCAGGGGTCCAAGCATTTGGGCCATCCTCCGCTGCTTTCCCAAGAGCATTAGCAGGGAGCTGGATCAGAGGTGGAGCAGCCGGACTCAAACCGGCTCCCATATGGGATACCCGCACTGCGGGCAATGGCTGTATCTGCTACGCCACAGTGCCGGCCCCTGAAGGCTGAGTTTTTTTTTTTTTTTTTTTTTGGACAGGCAGAGTGGACAGTGAGAGAGAGAGAGAGAGAGAGAGAGAGAGAGAGAGAGAGAAAGGTCTTCCTTTTGCTGTTGGTTCACCCTCCAATGGCCGCCACTGCGCCTATCCAAAGGCAGGAGCCAGGAGCCACGTGCTTCTCCTGGTCTCCCATGGGGTGCAGGGCCCAAGCACTTGGGCCATCCTCCACTGCACTCCCTGGCCACAGCAGAGAGCTGGCCTGGAAAAGGGGCAACCGGGACAGAATCCGGTGCCCCGACCGGGACTAGAACCTGGTGTGCCGGTGCCGCTAGGCAGAGGATTAGCCTATTGAGCCGCGGCGCCAGCCAAGGCTGAGTCTTAACGGAGCCTTTTCTAGCTTGTTCTTACCGAAACCTAGATCTTGTCATCATTGATAAGCGTTTGTCACAAGGGGCTTCCCCCTGTTCTGTTTAGTGTGTACTGCTGCGAAGGAGCTGTGGGTGGCGCTAGTCTGGCCTGCTTTTAGTCCTGGGCTCCCTCAGCAACATTTATTTTTACATTTGGAGGGCAGAGAGACAGAGATCTCCCATCCACTGGTTCATTCCCCACGTGCCTGAAATAGCCAGGGGTCGGCTAGGAGTTGGGGACGGTATCTGGGGCTCTCACACGGACTCACCTACTTGAGCCATCGCCTGCTGCCTTCCAGGGTCTGCAGCAGCAGATGGGTGGAATCGGGACCAGAGATGCAAACCCAGCACCCCAGGATGGGGTGTGGGCATCTCAAGAAAGGCTCGGCGGCTGTGCTGTCCCACACATGGTGCACATCGACTGAAACATCACACTGTACCTTGCCAATGCCTGCAGGTATTCTTTTTAAAAAGATTTTATTTATTTATTTAAAAATCAGAGTTACAGACAGTGAGAGGGAGACAGAAAGAAAGGTCTTCCATCCATTGGTTCACTCCTCAAATGGCTGCTACGGCTGGAGCTGGGCGGATCTGAAGCCAGGAAAGCGGGTGAAGGCGCCGCCTGCAGTGCCGCATCCCGTATGGGCGCTGCTTCAAGTTCCGGCTCCTCCACTTCTGATCCAGCTCTCTGCTACGGCCTGGGAAAGCAGTAGAAGATGGCCCAAGTGCTTGGGCCCCTGCACCCACGTGGGAGACCCGGAGGAAGCTCCTGGCTCCTGGTTTCGGATCAGCCCAGCTCCAGCCATTGCAGCCAACTAGGGAGTGAACCAACAGATAGAAGACCTCTTTCTGCCTCTGCCTCTCTGTAACTCTGCCTTTCAGATAAATAAGTAAATATTAAAGAAAAGAAAGAAATGAAGGAAGAAAGGGAGGAATCTGCATTTCTTACAGCTCCTAACACAGACCGGAGCTGTGGTTCTCAACCTTGACTGCACTGACTCGCCATGCGCACCCTTCCCCTTAATCACCCCAGGCCTCAGTAGTTTAGGGTGCCCTCCAGAATGATTTTTTTTAAATAAACCCTCTGTTTATTAATTTGTTTTCTTTCCTTTTTTTTTTTTTTTTTTTTGACAGGCAGAGTGGACAGTGAGAGAGAGAGACAGAGAGAAAGGTCTTCCTTTGCCGTTGGTTCACCCTCCAGTGGCCACTGCGGCCAGCGCACCGCGCTGATCTGAAGCCAGGAGCCAGGAGCTTTCTCTGAGTCTCCCACATAGGGGCAGGGGCTCAAGGACTTGGGCCATCTTCTATTGCTTTCCCAGGCCACAACAGAGAGCTGGATCAGAAGTAGAGCAGCTGGGTCTTGAACTGGTGCCCATATGGGATGGCAGCACTGCAGGCAGTGGCTTTACCCACTACGCCACAGCGCCAGCCCCAGCTCCAGAATGAGTCTAACATACACCTGAGTTCCATGGCTGACCCTCAGGAAAGGCACCTGACAGCCTGGGGAGGGGGCCGGGGCGCATGGCGCAGCGTGCTGTTCTTAGGGGCAGTGCATGGCTGGCATCTGCCTCCCAGCTAGCAGCTGGGGGAGGGCTGGGGTGGACCACAGCCATTTGTGTCTGAGAGCCTGGCTTGTCCTGCACAGAAGCACTGTGGCTCCCTTTGCCCGGGGAGCCCAGTGCCTGAGGCTTCCTCTGCCAGATGCACCCACTCCTCGCCTTCGGGGACGGGACAGTCTTCCGAATGCCTAGGACCCACGTAGTCAAAGTAGCCTTCCCTCTCTCCCCATTCCCTGAGCACACACATCCCTTCTGATATTGGAAAAGCCAGGCGGCGTCCTCCGCACCCCGAGGTGTTAATTATTTCTCAATTAGCTGTTTTGGGCTGTGGAGTAGTGCAGCGTGGAGAGACCTAAT